CAGGACAATGTAGCACTTTAAAGACTAACAAGATGGTTTATTAGATGATGAGCTTTCGTGGGCCAAAGTGCTACATTGTCCTGCATTTTGCTTCAGCTACCCCAGACTAACACGGCTACATTTCTATCACTATTCTGTATGTAGAAGGGAATCTGGTAGCAAGTTACTGACCACACAAAATTGTTCTTGCTTTTAAAATAGAAGCTGAACCTTTAAACAGTGAGGTCAGAGTTGATTGGCTGGCACATCTGTATTTTATGGCCTTGGGAAGAATGCCAAATTGTTTGCCAATCTTGACTATTAAGACGCTAATCTGTGAGCAAGCCCTGTGCACAGGAGACCGACCGTCTCAGCTGTATGAGTGAAGAATGATTTAATGCCCCTTGCAATATAATCCCAGAGTGTCAGCATTTGTCAGACTTCTGATCTTACTTCACTCATGGCCCAAGCAAAAGCAATTGATTGCAATGCAAAGTTGTTTGCTGATTGAATAATCTTCCAATGCCCTTAAGGTACTGACAAACAGACCTATATTAACAGAACTGTATAAATGCTTGCACTGTTTCGTGCCACGGTAGTTTAAATCTTGAAAGTTATTTAGGCACCTAATTCCCATTGGTTTTAATGGGCATTATATGTCTAGATGCCTTTGAAGAGCTGGCTCAAGATATTTAACATTTTCTTGATTTCGTCCAGAAAGAAATAATATAACTAAACTGTAGTGTGATGCTGTTATGTCTGGTGAAAGTGGTCAGAAAGTTGGGTGTGGAAGGGGATTCCACGTGGAATATTTTATCGATTTCCCCAATACACATAATTTTCTGAATTTTCCTGGTAAAAGTCAATGAATATTTGAAAACTGGAAAAAAATTGGCCAAAAAATCAGAAAGTTTCTGAGGACCATATGCTTCATGGCCTTTTTCTCCGTTATAATCCTGTATTTAACTACATTTCCCATGATGCATCATGATTTCATTCTCTTGGAAGGAAGCATCATTGGAGTCATTGACTATGGTGTAACACAGGAGTATGGTGGCAGGAGGAGGCATTCAGTGTCTAAAATTGGATATCTAGCGGCTGATTGAAGCTAACAGAAAGATGTTACTTGATTCAGTGGTCTTTGGATCGAGCCAATTAATCTATATTTAAGCACCTAAATAAAAACAGCCTGATTTTTCCAAAGTAAATTCCCATTGACCTCTCAGAAAAAGCTAGCCACATCTATTTAGGAGCCTAAGTTTAGAAGCTCAGTTTGAAAACTTTGGCCTGTCTGAGTTTGTGATTTCAGACACCAATAAGTGGCTCCATCTTTATTTGAATGACTTCATGTTCATTTAAGATTACATATTCACATACACCGCATGCATGCATGCAATGCATTCAGTATATAATGCTTCCAATATTTGTGTGCACAGCACCTTTATCTTCAAATGGCTAAAGTGTGTTTGTAAAGCAAATGTATTCCTGAAATTTGTCATGCCAGAAGTTATAGAAAGAATCCATTGGACAAGAAAGAGCAGTACAGCTTAAGTGACTTGGCAGAACTGATTCTAGATCTAAGTTCTAGAATCTTAACCATGAGAACATCTGGCTTTAACTCTGTCACTTTTTCAAAATCTAGTAGTTCAAAAAAGGCCAGATGAAATATTCTCAATTTTCCAAAGACAATTCTCCCCTGCACTGAACATGTGTGCAGGAGGAATTTCATTCAAATTTTTCCAGAAAGTTAGAAAAGCTTGAAAAGCCAAGCACATACTGCATATCTATTTACTACTATAGGTTGAAATCCAAAGATTTTGCATACTTCACATTCCCATACAGTTCAGGGAGAGTTGTATTGTTCAGTATTTCTGAAACACTGTCCAAATTAGTTAGCAGCTTCTTTGATAGTGAAGTATAGGTTGAACCTTTCTAGTCTGGGACTCTCTGGTCTGGTAATATCCATAGTCTGGCATGATTTTAGTTAGCCGGATGTCCACTTATCATGGGTATGGCCAAGTTTTTTCTCATCCTATAAAGTTTAGTCCTGGCTCTGTGATCTCTGCTGTAATTTACACCTAAATGTCTTCTAAAAGTGAGGTAAGCAGTGGAAGTGTTGATAATTCAGCTAGACAATATTGACCTCCCATTGTTGGGCAAAATCTCTGGTTCAGCATTGATCGGGTCCTGAGAATGTCGGACTAGAGAGGTTCAATCTGTACCTGTAATTTTTGATCACTGTGTCTTGTGTTGTGTAAGATGGCTCAGTATCTTATGCTGTTGTGTTACTATGCAATATATGAATCAACAAGAAAGATTCTTCCAACTTCAAGTAGCGAGCAGTGTGTTTCTCACCCCTGAAGTGGCAAGAGTTGGGTGTACAGCTGCCGTGTTCTAAGATCTAAGCTGTGATGCATGAGAGAATCTGAAAATCTATTTTTAAGCCACAGTGTATATCTGATAATACCGGATGAGAGCCACAGCAAGGTAGAAAGGCCACAGCATGTGAAAGATGAGAATCATATTGAATTATCAGGTATTCACTATATTTAAAAATAGATTTTTCCATGTCCTTCCCCACACTTTGGGGCATGTTTCAGGTGCGCCCTTAGAATGCAAACAAAGTGTGTAAATTAATGAAATCATGGCAGCTCCTGGTGTGAGATGGGTCAAAGCCCAAGGTTGTGGTTTCTGTTGGCGTAGACTAATGTAATGTCATCTCAGCTTTCTCAATAAATGTCACATCCCTGAGGCTATGCCTACACTTTTGTCTAGACTGGCTAGATTTTCGTCAGTGAAATGTGTATCACTCGGGGTGCAGAAAAAAGCACAGCTGAGACTGATCTACACTGGCAGAAGCACCAGTTGGGACAACACTATATTGGTGGAAGTTGCTCTCCTGTTGACATACCACTGCCTATGGTGGAAGTTTAATTATTCCTATGGGAGAACGCTCTCCCACAGACCAGCTTTCCAGGAGAACTTGCAGGGGCAAAGCACGGTGGTGCAGCTGTAAGGGCACTAGAGTAGGTACAGCCCAAAGAAATTCTAGGGAAAAGAGCTCAGTCATAGCCAACAGCACTCAAGACTTACATGTTAACAGAGTTTTCCAGTCAAACAGCTCTTCTTCAGGAAAGGTACTCCCAGCATCTCAGCAATCACAAATGATTAACACACCACCCACCCCCGCAACACCCTTTTAAAGATCTATTCATGCCTACCACAAGTGGTGTACCTCATCTAGAGCACTAGGTGCCCCCAATAACTATGTGGATGAAAGCAGACAATCACTATGCTCTTAAATGAACTTGCACAGGAAACTTATCAAAGCCAAAAACACCTGGTCTCTTGGGGGGGAGGGAGGCGTTTTCACAAAGTACTCACTCTAAATCAGACCTTCCAATTCTTATCCTCAAACCTGTACACTTTCAAAAGATGAATCTGGGAGCTGAAATTCACAGCTCTGCTAGCCACTAAAAATCATAGACTAAATAGAGACACTGGATTTATGGCATAATGATCTGTAACTCACTCACTCCCTCATTTTGTTCTATGACTGCAGAGGTGTTTGAGCCATTCTACCTCAAATGGTTGCATGTGCTAACTATGTATGCTAAACAATGTATCCCACCCTGCATTTTGCTGCCACACTGGGAGTACCTGTCCCAGACTGAAGAAGAGCTCTGCAGCACTCAAAAGCTTGCCTCTCTCACCAACAGAGATTGGTTCAATAAAAGATATTCCCTCATCCACCCTGTCTTGCTAAAATCCTGGGACCGACACACCTCCAACTGCACTGCAGATTTTAACAAGTGGCCTGCTAAAGAGGGGAGTTCTTGACAGGAGAGGATGTAGTCTATTAACTGTAGAAACAACTTTGCAATCATCTGTGAGAAAACAGATGAGGGGGGATATTATAGAACAACATGGACAATACAGATTGAACCGAAAACAACACAACTTTTAAACAATGGACAACTGTACCAGATGGAACCACTTCCCTCCAGACTGAGATTTTCAATATTGTCCTTTTAAAGCACTAACCTGATTTCCAAAACATGCTACCGTTATGCTTCTAAATAAAAGCATTGCTAATCATCCAAGGTAAGTACAATGAGATGTATTTAAATGATCCAAACTTCTTAATGCAAGCCTAATTTTATACAAAATGTTGCACCTTTTGAAGCCATTAGGCTGGTATGTTTGAATTCTTGCGAAGACTTTAGCTACTGATTCACTGATGAGAGAGATGGATGGGACTGCCTTGATCCAAACCTAAGCACAGCAGTGTAATAGTCCCAAAGGCAGCCAACATACGTAACTGACAAATGCTCTGTTGCTAGAAAATGTGAAGTAGCATAAAACCAGCCTAGTTAGTTCTACAGCACTCACTCATAGCCCTTTGCATAGGGGAAGTGCTGAGGGCTCAGTGGCATGATTGGGGTGCTGCTGGTGACTCCTAGCTGCTGCAGTGGAACTTTTTAAGCTCTTGAAGTTAGAGCAGCCTTGGAGCTGCTGTAATAGCTTATACCAGCCCATACCCCTATTTCCTTCACCTCGTGTGCCAATCACAGTTCGGTGAAACTGTGGGATTGGAGACTAGACTATATGCATTGCCTTCTATCCCTATGATTCTATGAAACCCCAAAATTAGGCCCTAAGGGTGATGCCCCAAAACCATCTTTAGATGAGGCATTTATGTGGCAATGCCCTCCGTAAGGCAAAAGCTCTCTTTTTAAAGTCTGGCAGCATAAGTAATGGCCTAGCCATTAAACTTCCCTGGCCATTTTACTGTACTAACTACTGTATTGTGATCGACACCTTTGGCATTCATGTGACTCAGTATGAGTTCCACAGTGGCTCAGGAGCAATTAATTGGCTCTTTGTAGTTTTTAACTAACGACAGTCATGCCACCAAACTAACATGGCTGTTGCCCTGTATTTCTCAAGTAAACACAGCATATCTTTCATTGAAAAGTAATCAGATCAAGGGAGGGATAAAAATTACTACAAAACATATCTTACATTTTCTTCTTTATTTGGAAGAGTACAGGGGTGAGCAAATGAAAAGGTTCAACATTTCTTTCACCTCAGTACATGTATGCTTCTTTTGTCTCAGTATGGAGACAGTAACTGTTGGAGGGATAATCACATGTAGCAACTACTGAGGATCTTGCCTTGTACATTTTACAGCTGGATTGCCAAAGAATAAAATCTGAGCACGCATCGTCGTAGACCCATGTAGAACACTTAGAGTATGTCAGGCAACAGGTGGTTCAGAGTAAAAAAGATTACATTCTAGATCTACATGATGCTAATCACACAGGTGTACAGTAGATGTCACATACTTGTGCAGACACAAACTTAAACTCATTCACAGACTATGGCACAGTCTTTTACTCCTGATAAGATTTCACCAGAACCCACATGAGGAGCACAGTTATGAGGACAATCATGAAGTTGAGGAAAAGCTCTTGCGTGGATCGTTCCATTTTCAGGAATAATGAGGGGAAGCACGGAGGCTAACAGTTGAAGCAAAAGGAAAACCTCCGGGAGTCCTTGAGATCAGCCTCCAGGTCAGAGCCTTGCCTGAAAGAAACCCCCAACAAAACAAACATATGAAGCTAGGAAGCCTAATAGCTATATTTATTACTATGGAGAGGCATAAGGATCTTGTGCAAAAAGGGATTTTTACGCAAAATGGACACATCCACACTGCATGTTGTTGCACAAAAAGGACCAGAATAGATTATGCAAATGAAGCGTGAGAAAATGCTAATCAACACTTCATTTGCATTGCATCTTCCGACAAAACACATAGTGTAGACATAGCCTAAATAAATGTTATCTCTATTGCTAAAAGTGAGTGTGTGCTACACAAGTTAAAAAGCAAAACATATCTCTACCAGCTTATCACCTTCTTTGATTTCCACCATTTGAGAGAACATGTTCTCAGTGTCACCCCAAAATACATCTCACATAACAAGCAATCCTTGGAAGTCAGCTTTGACTGGCAGTTATTTTTTTAAAAAACTTCTGCCATATTCTTTTGCAGTGATACTTACCACATACATATTACTATTACAAGTTACTAAACATTAAAGTATATGTTATTGTATCCTTATTTTAAAATAAGGAAACTAGAATTTTTTTTCTGATACAGTACTCTAATCTTAAACTCTGAATTGTTTACATCTCTCTCTCTGTCTCTCTCTCTCTCTCTCTCTCTCTCTCTGTCTCTGTCTCTGTCTCTGTCTCTCTTCATTCCCTAACACTGAGTTTTACTTTAATACTGTAAATATAACTAGGGAGAATCACTGAATTCAGCTTTTCTTTGCAGTATTTGGAAAAGAAAACAACTGGAAGGATGTTTGTTATGACTACAAAGGGAGAGAGGCAGGATTATAGTTTTGTTTCTAAAAAATATCAAAATCGCAGGCTAATGCCTGTAGATTAAATGGGATTTTCTCTGAGCTCTTCTGACTTTCCAGTTGGTACAGTTATCTTAAGTTGTAATACTTCTTGATCTATATTCAAAAACTTTTAATCAGCTATGGTTTTTCTCTGATTCACTTTAATCACAGAAAGTCCAGATTTTTTATGTTTCTCTGAGCACGCAAGGAGAAGTGATAACATTAGTGATGAGTACTGTGCTGCCTGATCCTGCGTGTGTTGAGTAAGTAAGAATGAAAAAAAGAAGAATCAAATAAGTTTGGGGGGTTGAAAAGCACCCATGCAAACAAACTCTTAAAGGAGAAGCTAAATTAAAAAGTAACATCTATGATGAAAACAAGAGCAAGACAGAAGGCTTTAACTGGAAACTGTCTTAATTTACTATAATGAAATATTAAAAGCCCAATATATGATAATGCATGTATACAAATTCCCATGTCCTCATGTTGCTCTACCAGTCTCATGTTTTACGTATACAAAGGAAAAGCCAGACCAAAAAAGTAATCCATGATTTTACCTTAGAGGGTAGATGAAACAGTACTGCACCTTCTGGAACCCTAGGTCAATGTAGAGATTATTTCTTCCTCAGCTTCTTCCTATCTCCCAGTGCAGTCTGGAGCCCCAATCTCTGTGTTGGAACTAAAGTAGTGTGAGGGAGGAGAGCAACAAGTGTATTGGCAACAAAAGTGATGACATCACCAAGTAAATATTTTAAAAAGGCAACACTGGCCCTAGGATTCAGTAGGGCTATTTATGCATGTCGGTGTATGGATGGATTTACATGCAACCATTTCATTTCTTTCTCTGATGAGTTGCTTTAATGTCAGAGATATGTATAAACCCTTTGAAACCAGCTAGATTTTACAATGTTTCTTTTGTGCTTCTAATTAACTAGTTTATCTCTTCATCCATGATGTAAAAAATGTGTTTGATATAATCCACATTCAAATCAGTCTCTTACAATTATTTCCAAATACTACACACTAGGGTTACACAAATTATTTACAAAGTCATATGACTGTTATGCATTTAAATCCATAATCTTAAATGTTTCACTAAATTTTTGCATTTAATAGATACTGACTCTCAGTTTGTACTCCATAACTGAGTGACATTATTTCAGAACAAGTAATACAGTCCTGTCCAAGTCACACAACTAACCACCCGCTCAGCCCACAGGAGAGGATGGGAAACATGAGATACCCAAGCTGAATTTCTCTTGTGGCACCAGGGGAAATATAGTTTAAGATAGAACTGACACAGAATGAAACATTTTAGGTCATTTTAATGCTATCCACAGAATTATTTTGATTAGAGCCAAACCAACACAAATCAAAATATTTCATTTTGGTTTTTCCAACAGGGAAAAACTGAAACATTTTAACAAAGTAAAAAATCATTACAGTGGTAAAAGCAGATCTAGTCACCATCCCTTTCTTCATGTCTTCTTCTATGAAGCTCAATATACCAGAAATTCCTTTCCTAATCTGGCCTGCCATCCTTTCTGCCTCCAGGCCCACTTTAAACCACAGTTCCTCTAAGATCGCTATAAAACCCAGTAATCTCTTCCTTCAAATGCTAATGAAACACAAAAATTTTAAATGTGTAACTAACCAGTCATATGCAAAACATCATCACTTCTTTTGCATCCCTTCATTTAGTTCTATAGTGTCTAAATGGGATCATATCCTTCACTTACTTGTGTGATGTAAGACCTTACTCAGTAAGCTTTCATTGGAACTGTTTGTGGAATAAACTACTAGTCAATGCAAATGAGGTTGACAGAATCTGACTTTAAGGTCAAATCCTGCAATCAGTGGCAGAGAGGTCAAGACCTGTGCTGGCCTAGAGCCATATTGTTTTCAATACCAGGGGCCACCCATTCAGTGCTGCTACTAAGAATGGTGCTTTATGCTGTACAGGCTACGTTCACACTGCAGGCTTCCATTCTTGTGCAAAAACTTGTGGAATGTCTACACTGCACGCACGTTCTTGCGCAAGTAAATTTACAGTAAAGCGTCGGAATAGAGGGCTTTTTGTGCAAGAGTTATTCCTCTCACCATGAGGAAAAAGCCCTCTTGCGCAAGAGCTCTTGTGCAAGAAGGCAGTGTGGACAGGCAACAGGGGTTTCTTGCGCAAGAAACCCCTATGGCTAAAATGGCCCTCAGAGCTTTCTTGCGCAAAGCAGCATCCACGCTGCCATGGATGCTCTTGTGCAAAAGCATATGGCAGTGTGGATGCGCTCTTGCGCAAGAATTTTTGCAGAAGAACTCTTGCGCAAAACAGTTCTTGCTCAAGAAACTGGCAGTGTAGACATAGCCTGTAAGTTTCTGGAGCAGGAACTTTGCCTTCATCTCTGCTTGTGTAGAAAATATTGGTACTTCTTTGGTACTATCCAAGTATAATTCAATAACACTCTACCTAATTAGGCCTTTCTATTTTATGTATTCTTCAAGGCAGAAGGAATTTATTTTTCCTCCTGCAATAGGAAACTTTGAAACAACTCATTTGGCAGAACTTTTTATATCACAGCTGGTAAAGGAAGACCATTTCTGATTGGCAGATACAGTCCATAGTAATTTTAGAAGAGACAAACTACAGTATTACATTTAGTTTTTGTGCCATCTGGCAGAATACCCAGAAGGTTTGCAAAAAGACTTTAAGCTTAATCAGCACCATGTTAGATATTATTAAGATGGGGAACATTCATTGACATAGACTGTAATTTTTTTTTTAAAAAACCCCAATGCTTGGCACTTTTTCTGACTTACCTATGCCACAGCTTGGAGTTTACAGCAGTGGTGGGCAACCTGTGGTCCAGGAGCTGCATGTGGCCCATTGGGGTTTTATATTTGGCCCACAAGATATTTTGTTTACTATTGCCCATGCACAGGTTGCCAGATTCTGCTGGTTTTCGTCCCTGTAGGTTTTTTCCTACCAATATTACTAGCCTGACATGCATGTAAAGCAAGGGGCTATGATGTGAAATGCATCCTGAGTACACATAACATTGACTGTGGGAGCCATGAGCTTCCTCTGTAGCCAATGAAAGCACTGCTACAAGTCAATCGAAACACCCTGCAAATTCTAGGTACACAAACACAATTAGAAACCTACACTATACTGGGAAACAGTCTTGACTACAAATCTTGCGGCCCACTCATTAGCCTAGGTTGCCCTTCAATGGTTTACAGTAGGGATGTAAAAAGTGGGAAAAAAAATTAACTGTGTAACCGATAAAATTTCTATCAGTCACATGATTAACCACAGCTCCTGACAGTTCTATGAAGAGCTTAACTGGAGACTAAATTGGCAGTTGAGCGACAAAGCTTTTGTCATTCATAGGTACTTAAAAGAAACCCTGAAGGATAAAAGCTTTGCCACAGCAAGTACTAGTGTAAACAGTGCTTTTTTTTGGCAGGAGTGCTCTGCTAACAAAGCAAAGACCCTGGCAGGGGCTGGAAGTTTTTTGTCTGCAAAAGTGTGTGGCTAAAAGCTGTGTAGCATAGACAAAGCCCTAATGATGAAGAGAAAGAAGAGGGGATGCAAAGGAAAAAGCCAATGATTGTATTTTAAATATGGGTCCTGGGTATTGATGATGTACTAAATATTTATTCAGTTGACCGTTTGATTTTTTTTGACAGATTTGGTTGCTCTAATATTTCACATATACCCTGCCAAAGTTCTCTTCTCATGCCTTACATATTCAAACTTAAGACTCTGGTTATATTTAAAGTTGCTGTGTCTGTCTCAAATTCTTTCTAGACTACACATCAAGCACCATGCAATCTTTCCAAGTAACTCTTATATAATGAGGATTGTATTCATTGTAATTTAAGGTTTTTCAATAAGATCTTATTAATATGTTTTTTTAAATGTTAGTGTCGGGCCAATGGTGGCCTTTGACTCTCTGTTCCTAGTATAACAGAAGCGAATTGCCAAAAGATCCACTTGGAGGAAAAAATTACCTCTTACTATACACACAAAAAGAAACACAAAATAGTACGTACATAATCATTAGAGTGTGTTTGCTGCATATAATTACAATACCTGGATATAAGAACAAAAAAAATCCACCAATTTCGATTACTCAGCATATTAACAATGGGCAAGTGGTCTCTGAATTTGCTTTAATA